AAAATGCTCCAGCCCCTCATCATCAGGTATATTAATAGGCACAGTTAAATGCTTTAGCTGCATATTATGTAGTAGACCTTTACTTAAGGAATGCAGAAAAGAATTTGGAATCATAGGAACATTAGGAAGATTCATGCTCAAACAGTACATTATTGGACTCCCAGCAGGACAAAATATTTGCAAATCAGCAATTTCAAGATGCTGTAAACTTTTGTTTTGTGTCAAAAGAATTTCAAGACTTTTTCCTATACGAGTTTTAACAAAGTTATGGATACAGGCTAAATTATATTTAGAGTTAAAATACATCTGAAATCGCATTCTCACTTTTAGTCCTATAAGTGTAGTATTGTTTGTCAGACTGTCAAGAAGCTCAATAACACTTTCAAGTGTGTGTAGCTGTAATGAAAGATACTGTAGGTTGGGATTAGAAAGGAATAATGGATATGGTGGATAAAAATTGTAAAGCATCAGTTTTAAATGTTTTAATCTGTTAGTATGAGGAAGAAGCGCCAGCATTATTTTGCATTGTTCTGTTCTGTCATGCACTGTACGAGTTTCATAAATTTCTAGAGCAGTCAATGGTGCATTTATTTTCGTGATATTCAGTGTTGATGAAATGAGTTTATTTGGTAAATTGAGAGAAAGTTTTTGTAATGTTTTGTTATTTTGCAGTAAGCTCTCTATAATGCCGTCTGGGAGAGGGAGACCAATTATGACTTATTTCAACTTCCATTTTGAATGACTTCACTGTTTTGTTTCTTGTTATTCCATTGAAAAAAGTAGCAGTTATATCAGTAATATTTGGTTTCATACTTTGAGAATCACATATGCTGAGGCATAGTTCTTGTAGTTCTGAATTGGCTATACTCTTTTCCACCTCTTGCAAATGACTGCTAGGGTCATAATCAATAATAGTATTCTGACTCAGTTCATTTGTTTCATTTAATATTGCCACTTTTAAGTGAAGTTTATTTAGTGGTGGCAGGTCAAGAAAAAAATTTTTTAATTTTTTAAAACTACCAGCATGATTACAGTAAAATTCCTGAACATTGTTAAAATGCTGGTGCCATACTAACTCACTTGGCACTGTTGGCAAAGTGCTTGTCCTAGATTGAATTGTGCTTTTTTCTGTTCTTCTATTGACAAAGTTCCATTGATGGGCGAAATCAAACGAATAGAAATGCAAACAATTCCAAAATGTATTGGAATTATGAATGAAGTGCATACAACACAATGTGTCAAATGGTCATATATGGCTAGTTATAGGGACCAGATAAACAAAAATTGTCATCCAGAAAACCTGTTTCTGAAGTTTTACGGTTTCAATATTATTGTTTATAAAATCAATTGTGCTTCCACATATGTCCTTTTCACCTATTTTTTGTAGCTACACAAAAGAAAGAAATCTGAAAACCATGAAACCAAAAACCAAGTAATGATATGTTTGGGTTTTAAAGTTTCAGGTTTTACTTTATAGCCTGTTGCATATGTACACAATGTACGTGTTTGGGTTTTTGGTTTTGTAGTTTTCAGGTTCTATTTTATAGTCTGTTGCATATGTACACAATGTACGTGTTTGGGTTTTTGGTTTTGTAGTTTTCAGGTTTTACTTTATAGTCTGTTGCATATGTACACAATGTACGTGTTTGGGTTTTTGGTTTTGTAGTTTTCAGGTTCTATTTTATAGTCTGTTGCATATGTACACAATGTACGTGTTTGGGTTTTTGGTTTTGTAGTTTTCAGGTTCTATTTTATAGTCTGTTGCATATGTACACAATGTACATGTTTGGGTTTTTGGTTTTGTAGTTTTCAGGTTCTATTTTATAGTCTGTTGCATATGTACACAATGTACGTGTTTGGGTTTTTGGTTTTGTAGTTTTCAGGTTTTACTTTATAGTCTGTTGCATATGTACACAATGTATGTGTTTGGGTTTTTGGTTTTGTAGTTTTCAGGTTTTACTTTATAGTCTGTTGCATATGTACACAATGTACATGTTTGGGTTTTTGGTTTTGTAGTTTTCAGGTTCTATTTTATAGTCTGTTGCATATGTACACAATGTACGTGTTTGGGTTTTTGGTTTTGTAGTTTTCAGGTTTTACTTTATAGTCTGTTGCATATGTACACAATGTACATGTTTGGGTTTTTGGTTTTACAGTTTTCAGGTTCTATCTTAGAGTCTGTTGCATATGTACACAATGTACGTGTTTGGGTTTTTGGTTTTGTAGTTTCAGGTTAGTCTGTTGCATATGTACACAATGTACGTGTTTGGGTTTTTGGTTTTGTAGTTTTCAGGTTCTATTTTATAGTCTGTTGCATATGTACACAATGTACATGTTTGGGTTTTTGGTTTTGTAGTTTCAGGTTAGTCTGTTGCATATGTACACAATGTACGTGTTTGGGTTTTGGTTTTGTAGTTTTCAGGTTCTATTTTATAGTCTGTATAATTGACTAATATATTTAATAATGGGCTACCTACATGTACATGTAGTCTATTATATTCCTGCATACATGTACATGTACATTTAGATGCTCATTACTCGAATTTTTAATCAAAATTAGCTTAAGTAATACAAGGGCATCAATAATCAACATGTACCAGATTACATATACTAAAAGCTAAGAGTGTTGTTAAGAATTTACTTGTATAAATACATTCATGGCTTGAGCCAAAGTTTAAATATTCTAATTCAATAATGCATTATATAAATGAGGTCATTAATTCTTTCACCCTCACACTAAGGAAGTGTGATTATTAACCTCATTATGATGTAGGTTCATATGCATCTGAGTAGGTGTAGTGTTCTACCACTTATGTAATACTAGAATTACACATACATGTACATGTACATGTACATGTACAGTACATGATGTATTGTGAAAGGGGAAGACATGTTATCTGAGGTGTCTTTTGTGTGTTGTCTGTAAATATTTTAGTACACAGGCCTGCACATGCATGACGTAGCATGTATTATATACATGTACATGTATACAAGTAATTTTAATCACTGTTGATACTATAATATTATTGTATTGCAGACCACCTGAAATTGCTTATGTACATTATGTATACGTAATTCTATTATAGTTGTTATATTGGAACTATCATATTAGATTCATGTAGTGTAATGTGATTGTGAGCTAATGCCCATATTGTCAATAATTCATTATCAGCTGAGGTTAATGATACAGTATT